TGCAACAAGCACGAAATGTGGTTGGTTGCAAAAAACAGTTCCCTGCTGTCACCTGATCTGACACTGATCCTTTTGCCTATTTCCTTAAGAAATTTAAGGGTGTTGGGGTCCATCGGGCCGAGAACCTCGATGCATATTGGCAAGAATTCCATCGAGGGGAGGGCATTCCCATATTTTTTCATTTTCTCGTCCGCTGCCCTGGCCGCGGCCAAACCGCATTCTTTACTTGTCAGGTTTACGTATCGTTCGGCGAGGGTGCCAGGGACCGTAACATCCCACGCCAAACACCTGCCGGCTCTCCAAGGTATTAACGTGCATCCGTCCGGTCGCCTACCATCATGCGCAGAAATGCCGGATGGTTCCTTGAGAACCGGGATTGAAGCCTTGGAGAAGAGCCGACAAATGTAATCGTTTAGCGCTGAGTGACGTAGTTGACGGCCCCCACCCAGGCGACAAACCAAACCGTGGTGCCCAAACTCGTCCGCCTCAGCGCCACATCGGCACGTGTATTTATTTTGAATGACCAGGCCAAGTCTGAAGCCAATGGCAAATCTTACAGACTCGTCGTCAAGCCTGGTGCCCACAGAGGTGTTAGGCCACGATCTCAACCACCCACAGCTGGCAACGCTGGACATGGCCAACAAACGAGCGGTGGAAAAGTCGTCGCCGCATGAAGACAACAAATTTTGAAAGATTTTTTTATATTCTTCGTTCAAAATTTGGACGTGCGTACGGTCCCCCGGGGCGGACGCTGGGGGAAGAATATCGCGGTATGTATGTATGTATGTACGTATGTACGTATGTATGTATGTACGTATGTATGTATGTATGCACGTATGTATGTATGTATGTATGTATGTATGTATGTACGTATGTATGTATGTATGTACGTATGTATGTATGTATGTACGTATGTATGTATGTATGTATGTATGTATGTATGTACGTATGTATGTATGTATGTACGTATGTATGTATGTATGTACGTATGTATGTATGTATGTATGTATGCTTCGTTTGCATGCATGTATATCAAATGTGAAGAGGCATATTATAGAGTGCGCTGGTTCAATTGCTGATGGGGAGGCATTCAAAATTCATGAACTGTTGGAGGAGAAGATGGGCTGATGACATCGCAGAAAGGCTGATGACGTCACAGACGATGAAGGGGATAAGGATGAAAATGGCGATGAAGACGACGATGACGACGACGATGATGATGATGATGCCTGTGCTAATATAATGATGAGAACGACGTATGAACAGCAATGTTAAAACAATAAAAATTCCTAGCTATAGAATTTCAAAAAAAAAACAACCACCGGAATGATACGCCCATCAATTATGACGTCATTAATGATGATGAACATGGTCTGGCACCATCTTATTAAACTCTAATCATTATGAAAGAGGCGATGATGATGATGTCTTCTGGATGAAGATAACAATGATGATAATGTTGACGGGGATAACATAGAAAGTAGATGCAGACATGCAAAATGGCCGTAGAATTTATAAACGATAATTCGAAACATGCACATATACCTATATTATAGGTATAACATAAACAGACCTGCTTCAATTATACCTCTATATACCTACATACACACGTGCATACATATAGACGTACATACAAAAACGCATATACATACACACACACACACACATACATACATATATACATACATACATACATATACACATACACATACATACATACGAAACGAAACGAAATTTAATTTGCTTCTCACAATTAAAAATTTAATGAAAGCAAGGATGGCCATAATAGAATTTATACAAAATTCATCTAGCATGGCCACCCAAACAGAGATGTCCTGAGTTAGAAACAAAAATTTTCAGCAAATAATAAAAAGAAATTTTCCTAAATAATCAATAAGAGGCAAGCTAGTTGTTTGTAAATTAACAAATCAACTGTGTTAGCCAAACAGGTGTTAGTTGTTAGTAGGATGTTTTAGGCGTTAATTTAATTACATACAAACGCATATACAAACATACAAACATACAAACAAACATACAAACATACAAACCTGCATCATTTATACATGTTTTAGCACTCTCATTCTGTGGTGTTTATACGCATAAATAGATATTATATACCGTGTCGGCAAAACATTAATAATTCAACGAGTACCCAAATGTTATGTCTTATATCATTTGTATGTAAGCATGTAGGTAGGTGTGTATGTATGTTTGCATGTGTGTTTGTTTGTTTGTATGCGATTATGTATGCATGTATAAATCTGTATATATGTGTTTGCTTGTATGAATGTATGTATGTTTGTAAAGATGAATGTAATTGCCACTTGAATGTGACCAATTAAGTTTTGATTGCTTTTTTATAGGTGTGTATGTACTTACAAGCGAATCATTGTTTTTGTATGTATGTATGTATTATTTTGTATGTTTTTTCTTTGTATGTATGTATGTATGTATGTATGTTTGTATGTATGTATACATGTATATATATATATATATATATATATATATATATATATATGTATGTGTATTAGTACTTGGATAGCTTATATACATGTAAATTGTTAGGATAAATTAGTCAACAGTTTGTTTAAAAAAATGAATTCGAGTGTATATTGTTTCATTTTATTGGTTGACGTTGTGAATTTTCGTTCGTTTGTTCATTCGTTCGTTTGTTTGTTTGTAAACCCATTTTTTCTAACTAGTTTTAATATTCACGTTGTTATCGTCTGTTTATCTAATTGTTTATTTTTTCGTTCAAATTAATTTGTTTACATTTTTGCAGTTTACATATTGTTTGCATTTATTTGTTTACATTTTCTATCATTTACATTTTTTGTTGTTTACATTTCGCTATTTACATTCATTGCTAACATTTTTGTTTAGGCTTTCCTCCTCTGATTTGTTTACACTGTCAGCTTCACATGCCTTCAAGACAAACCACACACGCATGTTTTATTTCACTGGATAAACACAGCACATTGCCAATAACCAAAGACAATAAATAACGTGACGGAAGTTGAACTTTGTAAACAAAGAAATATGTATATATATAAAGAGAGAAAGACAAATCATAAACCTTTAAAGACGTGCGGGCATAAAACAGGCAAAGAGAACCTGCCATAGATATGATAATAAGAATATATTATTCTTTTGTTATTTATTTTTCGGCGAGTTCTTATCCATACACTCAAGTAAAGATAATAAAATAATTGTTTTGAGTAAAAATAATGAATAATGCATAGGAGTAAAAATTGAAAACTGTGAGCGATAAAGTAATAAAAAAAATCTTTGCAATTTAAAAATAAAACACCATAGATACATAAAAATCGTCAGACCATAGAAAACCAATGACTCGGCGCTCCATAGCCACAATGAAATACACCAAAGATATGAAAGCACAGACCCAACCACGACAGTGAGATATAAACATACGAGCATAGATATCACAGAAAAAACGCATTACCAAAGATATAAAAACTGGGAAGTAGCAATGTGTAACTGTAAACAAATAAATAAAATGTAAATATGAAAACGGCTCTTTTACGGCATAGAAAAAACAACAACATAGAAAGCATAATGGGAAAAAAGCAACACAGAAAAAACACATTAACACGCGAAACATAGATATGAAAGAAAAAAGATGTCTATGCATATACCTTGAGATAAGTGGTTTCTAATACCAATACAAACACATCACACGCCGAGAAGTGGGCGATAATAGAATTGCTGCTACTGATTCTTGGTAGGCCAGGGTAATAGCAACAACAAAAATAACGACAACAACAACCACATCAGCAGCAGCAACAACAACCGGCAATAACAACAACATTAACAATAACAACATTAAGATATAGAAATAAATGCAGAACCAACAGCATCAACAACATCAATAGTAATATCACCAGCACAGAGAAGCTGAAATAAAAAAAATAATAAGAAAAATCTGCTAGTGATGACGATGATGAGAATGTTTAAAACATCAAGTAAGACGCTGATGATGATTATGATGACGACAATGATGGGGACGATGATGATGACGATGAGATGAAGAATAAAATTTGACAACTGGTAAGCATAGATGAATAAACAAAAATCAGCATAGACAAACAAACGAAAACACGCAAGAAGCATAGATAATAAAAACGGAAATCAACATGGACGATAATGAATAAACAAACCGGTCGATATTACGATGTGTTATTCGGGGCAGTGCATAGTAGTAGCATCGATGAAATGACAAAATAGAAAATAATAATAATAACAAAATAAGAACATAATAATAACATTACTTTATTAATAATAATAATATTATTATTATTGCTATTATTCACCAATGCTACGATGATAAAGGTACGTGTAAAATCAATGAGAGTCTGCCAGTGACTGAAAAACAACAGATGACTGTGGTGATGATGTTGATGATGATGATGATAATGAAGAGGAGGAGGAGAAGAAGGAGGAAGATGATGATGAAGATGGTAAAAACATAATGATAATAATAACACAATGATAATGAAAATGATAAAAAAAGATAATGATAATGATGTTAATGATGACGATGATGATGGCGATGATGATGATGATGCCGACTACAATAATGATGATGATGATAGTACACTTATAATGATGATGATGGTATTATAGTAATACAATTTTTAAGATGACGACGATGATCGCAATGATAATGAGACTTATGAAGATGATGACAATTATAGTGATGATAATATTCTTATTAATAAAAAAAAATAATAAGAATAATAATAATAAGAATAATAATAATAAGAATAATAATTGCGATGATTCAAAGCAATTGATGAAACACAAAACAGTGAAATTTCTGGTAGAATGTAAATAGCTGCTATGAAACTGATTTATAAGATTCTATCTCGAGTACTTCTCAGATGTATAAAACATAATTACTATAAATATTATTATTATTATTATTATTATCAGTAGTAGTAGTAGTAGTAGAAGTAGTAGTAG